AATTTGGAACTTCGATATGATGATGAGATTAAATGGCACAGTACCAGATTTGAATAACAATAGAAATGTTCTTGTGAAGAATGAATGTGGGGCTTAGAGAGCTAAGAAGTTTTAAATAAATACGGGCTTGCAATTCATTGCCCTCCTGACCCACTGTTGTTGTACCCAAGTTAGCACACAGCTGCTAACAGAGATGAGATGGCAAGGAAAGAGCCAGTAGGAGCTTAACCTGCCCTCAGTTGCACTTAATGTGGTAACTTTCTTCCCCTTCAAGTTGTCCCTGCTGAGTCTTTTCCGTACAGATTTTTGCCCAAGGAAAAGTCTGACCAGGTTTAATCACAAAAGTTTAATAGTTGTCCTCAGAGCTTTCATTTTCAGAAAATTCCACTGCATTGTCAGAGTTTTAAGACAAACAAGACCATGCAATTCACTATTTCACACTTGATTGTGCCTAACTATTATGCCAGTTGCTGACACAAAAGGGCTGGCTGAGGATGGACAGTTTCTGGCCACTGTATAATCCAGCAAGGAAATGGGGCTACCACAGCATCTTCCTTCTCCAAATGCACATTTTCAGATTCACTGGCTCATGCACGTGCTGTTTGCACACGAAGACTGAATGCTGTTCCATTGTGTCAACAGTGCCGTCCATTACAGTAGCACACTTGGAAATGGCACAGAACCAACTCAGGTATTGCTTTGGTAGCTGCCATTTCCATGGCAGCTTCCAGACTTACTTTCATCACTCTATTAGTGAATAAGTGAAGAGTGGGCTGTGGAAGAGGCTGTGCATTTTTTCGCTATCATAAACACAGATGTTGCTTTTTCATAAAAGGGGTGAAATTAGATGGAGTGTGGTCACCTGAGCCGATGTGAATCCATGGAGATACATACACATATATACGTGACCCTTTGCAGGCCAACCTATGATAGTTTTTGTTCTGTAAACAGACAAGGTCGCTCTCCTCAATTTTCAGACTAAGGTGTAAAGATGCATTAGCATGGCTGCAGGCCTGAAATAATGTACCTCACTCCGAAGCAATGCTCATTAGCTTAGGCTTGGCTGATGCCTTAATTTCGCCTCTGATTTGCTGCTGGCTTGCCTCTGGCTTTTTCAGTTCACAGCTATATTTGCTCATTTTTATCTGAAGAAATCATGTAATGCACCTCTAGTGAGGAAAAATTATTGCAAAGGTACCTGAAACCAGGCAGTATTTGTTACATAGAACTGCACCTTTTACCCTATGCAGTAGAGGTACTTCTAGTATAAAACATGACTAAGCATGTAAAAAATGTTTAGAACAAGATGTAAAAACTTACAGGAAAAAAAGAGGATTTTTAAAATGGTTATATGCACAGAATCAGTTACTAAATTGAACAGGATATTAAAACACTAAGGAAACATGAAGGTTTTAAAATGTCAGTCTAAAATCTCAGATCCTCACTGCTCTGTATTGCTGGAGCTAATACTGCCACTGTCCAGATTTCAGTGAAAGGATTCATCAAGGAGACTTTTCCTTTAGTTTGCACTACAGGACTGATTCTCTTGATTCAGGGTCAGAAGGTGTTCCTTACACAGAAGTTTATTGAAGGACATGTAATAAAAATAGGCATGGATTATAAAAGCTCAGCCTTTCTCCTAAATTTACATTCATACGTTGTCAAGGAACACCTAGCATATGAAAGAATCAGCAATGCACAGAGCACTTGGCCAGCCTTTTTGGGTTTTGTTGAAACCAGAGGTTTAATAGGAGTGAAATTTGAGGAAGTTCCAGTTTTAGCCCGCAGCATTTTGCAGAAGCAGTCAGAAGGTGATTTATTTCCACGATCTGTAGTGGGATTCCACATGACATCTGAATAAAGGTCAAGTCAACTGCGTGAGGTTTTTCTTTCTGCAGCTGTGCTCCTTTGAATGCCATGTTTAATTAATGTAAGACCAGTGTGTGTACACTCTATTTCTTTAAAGCATATTATCCCTTTTGCTTTTGTAGTGCATCAATAAACCTGCATCCACCTGTGACCCTGAATTAAATACACTTTCGGTTGCAAGAAAAAATTCCATTAATGCAGTTTATATCATTATTTCAAATTGTAGGGAGGTAAGGCAAATCACATACAGTGAAGTAGAAGAAATGTATGTAGCTGCAGTCCAGAAGCCATCTGGCTAGTGAATTTGGTGAACTGATTTCCCAAAGCAGATAAGCTCTAACGAGTTTGCCAAGGTTTAATTGAATGGCCATGAGTCAGCCAATTTCCATGCAAAAAATAATTTGTAACTCTAAATTTTATGTGCTAGATGTAACCTAGCTGTGCTCATGAATCTTGAGATCACTGGGCTGTGTAGGCTAGGGTGGCACTAAGTGATAAAAATATTATTATAATGTAGAAGATGACTGGTTTTCAACCTCTGCTTTATTTATAGTGTCTAAAATGGTCATGTTTGGTTTCTTTTTGCAATTTAGAAGAATTTGACTTCAGGTGATCCAAAATTCATAGCAGAAGTGTTTACATAATCAGAATTATAGTATCCCAAACTGGTAAGAAGGAGGATACAGATTTCAAGTCTCTCCTTTACAGTTTTTTGCCCATCTTTAGAGTATTGGTAACTATTAAATATAATGCTTTACCTTAATTGTTCTTTGCTCTTTAGGCTGTAAGCTTACCTAGACCAAATCAAGTTAATACTTTCAACAGCCACCCAAACTGTTGTGTTAGAACATATTTAAAGACTCTTTCCCAGTATTTCAGGAATAGTTTTTTCTCAAAATCTGTCTCCCACCAACAGTGGAAACATTCTAATTCCCAGGACAGACATGATGCATGCTACAGAGAGTGCTTGTCCTACATGAAGGTAAAGATTGAGCAATGTTAATGAGTAGAACAGTCCAAATAACCCAGGAATAACCTATCTAGCAGTATTCAAAACAAAATGTTACTGATGTAGAACTGGGCATCCATTTAGACATGTACAAATTGAATACTTTCTTATATGTGTATAAGTCAACCTAATTTTACTGTCCTTTAACTGCACATTTTATAGTCTGATCCAAATCTTAGGCACATAATGAAATCCAAGCCAATGCATGCTAATATGGATTCATAAACAGTTAGTGCAATGCTGTCAATAAATTCAATTTTATACAGACAATGGAAACATGTTCTTAAGGGCACTGTTTCAAGTATGGATGTTTTGAAGTGTTAGTCACTTGTGCTTTATGAGTTCATACAGCTTCATCTCAGCAGACTCGGTTATTATGTCAAAAATGTCTACGTAGCTTTAGACAGATGCCATTTGAAAACTATTAATTCTTTTTTTTTTCCAGAGTACACTTAGCATCAGCTTTTACAGCACTGTCTACCTACCACACATTACCCTGTGCAGTCAGTGAAATCTCTGGAGATAAGTGGTTTCTAATCAAGTAAAACTTGCTGATAAGGTGGCAGATCCCTATTACATGCACTTTGTACTTTTACCTAAGCTTGCTGTAGCTACTGTGATTGGTCAGGAATGGGATGTTACTGGTTTTCCAAAAAACCTCAGCTGCTAAGAGGCAGGAAATTATGCTATAGATGGTACTGAGGTGTTTATGTCTTAACAAATTAAATTAAGTGTCTAGGCATGTCATTTGGTCTTCATTGCGAGAGGAATGTGTTTCCATCTTCAGTTCATAAGAATTTCTGTTCACAGGACCTATAAATGATGAGACCTAAGCTCAGGTGTTATTATTTGTAATAAACTGTCTACTTCTGTTCTCCCTTATGGATTAGCTCACCGTATTTTGCTTTTGGCTACTGGCAGCCCTACTTTACAAAAGGATATTTGTTTTGAATTTACAACTGGTTTGTTTCACAAGGTTATTCTAACAGAAATTCCAGCCCTGCTGTCTGTTTTATCCATGGTTTCTGAGCCATTCTGACATAGTATGAGCCATCAGTACCTGCCTGTAGCTGAAGGTTATAGGTGAAAACGAATGGTATATGAAGACAGTGTCAATAACGTATCTTTTCATCAATATAGATTTCCCTCCTACTATAAAGCTGTTTGAGTGTAATAGTAAAGCATAATCACCAAGATGCTGATTTACTCCATGTTAATAGTTTCAGAGATCTGGTCATCCTTGGAGGATTTCTAATGTGCATGTGTAATGTGCATGTATGTGTGTGTGAGCTATAATTTCCTTGTATTTTACAGTTTCTAATGTATTAGTGTAAGAGGAATTCCTCAAAAAAGCCATCATTTTGGAGTTTCTAGGTAGCAGGAAGAATGTATTATGGTAACATTTCTACGCTTTCTTCTGTGTTCCCTTTGTTTGAGGCCATCAAAAAGGTCATGGCCCCTTTCAAGGCTCCAGAGTCAGCTTTTCTTCCAGTGGACCTGGACCTAGAAGTGAATATCATTCCCACCATATATTTTGCCATCCACCTATAAGATTGATTTTAGAAAAACCACCACCCTCTTGCATGGTTATTGAACTCTGGGTCATTTTTCTTCCGCTTCTGCTTCCACTTTTTATTTCCATGGTACTTGCTGCTGCTTTTTCTTCATCTTCATCCTCTCATCGTTTCTTGTCCCTGGGAATTTCTCCATTGAGTTTGAACTCTCCTGTTCACCATAAAGAGTCTAGTTCTATGGTTGAACAATCCTTCAGCACCGGGAGATCTTTTTAACCTTCTTCCACCTCCTTTTGAAATCACTTTTGCACTTACTTTTCCCCCAGAATAATTTTAACAATTGTTTTCATATCATCATATCTTCCTTGGTCAAGTGACCAGTTGGAAAAAATACATTTACATCACAATGTTATGTTACCTTGAGGAGCAGAGCAAGGCAGTAATAGCACCTCTGAAGCCAGAATATACATAGGCTAATTGTTGGCTTAGAGGTCCTTATATCTTTTAATTAGTTGTCCTATTATTACCCTAGAGTGCTTTAATTTTAAATGAAAGATAATAGCTGCCTTATCTCTAAGGAAACTGGTCTTGATTTTATTAACTTACAGGACAGAAGAATAATTGGCACATATCATTGTCCAGAAATGTATTCAACAAAGGTATCTTTCATTGTTTTCTAATGTTTTTATCCTCAGAGACTTAAAATTCAGGTCCTGACCACTTATGGTCATTAAAGATCCCATGGCACTTTTTTAATAGTGTGGTCATCTCAACCCCAAGCACGTGGCCAAATATCAATTTCTGTAACTGTTTTGCTTACCTAACATTCCCCACCACCACTCACCCACCCCATAGTTTCAATTGGCTACAGCATTCTCCATTTCCTTGACTAAAAAATAGTGTACTGTTCTGCACTGTCAGTCACCACATTTCACCTGAGAGGTGATTGTGCTTCACTGGGAAGTGGCTCTTCTTTCTAATGGTTGTAAAGCGCTTTGGGATCCTTTTGAATGGGGCGGTGCTGTGTACAATTAACGTAATTCATTATCATTCTATCTCAGGCTTCATTTAGTTACAAAAGCATGTTTGATTTAGAGTTGGGCGAACCTACTTGGTGGAAATAACACTCCCAGCTCTCTCTAATCTGAAAAGGAACCTTTTGTCAAAGGTTGACCAGTTAAGTTGATTTCTCTCTGGGTTTTGATGTTGTTGTTTGTTTCTTTCTCCCTTTTCGTATTCATTGGTATTTCTGGATTGGAACTTTGGGAGTCCTCCACACTGGGAATTCAAAATACCATGAAAATGCTGTTCTTGTTATGGTTAATCCACTGTTCCAGGTACAAGAGGGTTAAATTAGTGCTTGGGAAGCACCTGAACTTTGTGGTGCTTACCTGGCTATTCTAACACTTGAAGGTTCGCCCATCACTAATTTTTACTGTATTTTGCATTGTTCTGAAAAATTCTTGGAATATTGAAAAATGCTGTGCTCCAGCTCTGTTATCAGTGTGATATATGCAGAAAACGACACTTTGCCCTAGAAGACAGTTTAGAATATTTCTAAATGTTTTTTTTGCCCAGCATCATTAAACTTAACTAACTACTGCCAAGATTACCAGATACCTGTAGCATTTTCCTGTGTGAAGAAACATACTAGAATGAGAACAGAAATGACGAATCAAAACAAAAAGTTAAATGGAGGAGTAATACCATGTCACTAAAACATGCCTGGATCTAACTCCAATAGGCTAAAATAACTTTTCTTGTATTTGTGTTACATAGAAAGTATATCAGTATAAAAAGCCTAAAATGTCTAGTATCATTGCAGATCAAAAGGATAAGATACTCGAAATAGATTCAGCCTAAGAAGATTTAAGATGTGAACAAATTTGTTGGCACTAAAATCTTACCCATAACAGTATCATAGAATGCACAACATTGAGGTGAAAATAACCCAGGCTGTGGTCTATGGGGTAAAACCACTGCATTAGTGGATGGTATGTCAAACTCCCCCTCATGTCATTGGAACTGAAGTTTCTATTCTTTTCTTAAGGCTTTGTGAAACTATGGAAAATGTACTTTCTAAATGGCTTTGCACCCCTCTTGTAAAACACTTCCCCGTTGTTTTTAGATGTTCTTGGGATGAATGAATGCCAAATGCCAGAATACTGAAAGTCTTATAATCTGTCTGAGATTGTATAACAAAACTGAAAGACAGTTTTGTCTTACCCCCAAAACACATAAGAATTTTCTAAATAACTACACTTACTAGAAGGAAATGTTCAAAAGTTCTCTTTAGAATTTTTATAGATGCATTTGAAAGGTTTGTATTATAATAGCAAAATACTGGTTTTGCCTTAGTTTTGTCTAAGGCAGAGGAGAAACGATTTGATGGCCTTCCTGGCTAGAACACAGTGTTTCCTCACCATGCTTAATATTGTGCTACAAAGCTGTTAAAGGAATTTTTCTTGAGTTCCAGCTCAACTTTTCCATTTTTCCAATGCTTCTCAGAAAAGACTGATTTCCCTAACACCATAGAAAATTCAAAGATTTCATATGGCTGTGATGGAAAGCATGCAAAAATAGATGATTTGAGCTGCTTCACATTGAGACACTTAATTTAATCTAAACCTAAAATATAATGAAACTAGAGGGGTGCAAACTCACATATATCGAGGAGAAAAAACAAGAACGGGGGAAATCTGGCATCTGGGCAATGCTAGTTTCTATGCATCACTTGAACAGATGTAATCACTCAAATGACAGCGTTTCAGTAGGTTCAAAGAACTTTTGTAAGTATCTGACTTTCCTGTTCATAATACCGTACAGTGGATGCTACTAAAAACTGTATTCTACCAAGTTCTCTTATAGAGCCATGTAAAATATTAGAAAGGGTTTTTTTCTTAACATAATGGTAAATACAGTGCTATATTGGGTAGTGCAGCGGGGTACCTGCTGCTGCCTTCTAAATATTACAGAATAGACTGATGCTATATTATTGTTTAGAAATCAACAAAAGTCACAGTTTGTGCATTCAGTAATAATCACTGTATGTATTATGTACATGATAAATTAATAATGTGGCTGAGTTATTCTTAAAGGAGCTCTGGAACAGTTTCATCACTTATTTGTCCTGGAGCATATCTGCACTACCATCACTAAGTCAGTGAACTTATTTAGCTGCTCATTAGCTATTATTTTTTCTAAAGTACTTTAATTTTGCCCTGTAATCATACAATTTAAAATGCATACTTAGACAAAAGTGGGAGGCGAATTACAGTTTCTTCAATAGCCTTACTTTTGTTTCCTAGAAATGGATTATTTTGAAGTTCTCCTACCATACTTCAGATCTGCTCCAGGTTGCCTAAGAGCAGAAATTAGTTCCTCGTCTTTGAAATCCTCTTATTTGTCTGAAGGGTTTCTTTATAACTTCGTATTAATATTTCTATCTCACTGAACTGCCTTTAAAAATAAATATACCGTAGCTAAAACTACCCATTGAAACAACTGTTCAATGTACATTTGACGTGATTACACTCTGTATGTTATTTTCTTTGCTTGAAATTGCAGATCCCTGCTATTCCAGCATTCAGATTTCCACAGCATGAACTATATTTATGAAATTCATTAGCACTGGGGAATGGAATTTCCTCATAGGTATAGTTTGGCTGCATTTCCCCAAGTAACCGGCAGTCCTGTTTGGGATATAGGAACTGAAAATTCGCATTCTTTTATGCAGTGCTCAGAGCCTCATTTTACAGAGGCAGAGACCTTGCAAATACCTGAAGTTTTTGTCAGAGCAGAAGCTTTCGTTTGAAAGAAGAAAAGCCAAAGCAGAGCAGGCCCTTTTCATTTGGTTTCTCTCTGACACCCCATAAAAGTTCAATATTTGTCCAGGGTTTCCTATCCAGTGGCAGAATCCCACTTTCAAGCTGAGCATTGTGCTTCTTTTCCAGGTATTGCTCCTACGCACTGGGAAATACTATTTATTCCATTATGCTATACTGGCCTTACTGTTTCTTGGGTTCACAAATAAATATAAACAATAAATAGTCAGAGCTATGCTTAAAGTCTTTCAGACAGGCTGATGTCCAATAAATTAGTAATGTTAGGTCTAGCTCTCCTCAGCATGGCTTCAGTTTGTAGCTGATTTGGCTTCCTTTCTCTCTTGCTAAGTCTTCTTTTTTATTTTTTACAGATGGATCCACATGAAAATATTTTGTTGAGCACACTTGAAATTAAAAATGAGATGGCTGCCTCCGAGGCGGTGATGGGGCTTGGGGACCCTAGAAGCACTATGCTGGCGTATGACACTTCAAGCATCCAGTACCGGAAAGCTGGCTTACCCAGACACAGCTTTGGTCGCAATGCCCTGGAGCGACATGTGGCACAGAAGAAAAGTAGGCTACGGAGACGTGCATCTCAACTGAAAATTACCATCCCTGACTTGACTGATGTAAATGCCATAGATCGATGGTCGCGCATATTCTTCCCTGTTGTTTTTTCCTTCTTCAATATTGTCTATTGGCTTTACTATGTGAACTAAGAAACAAAGCCACACAGGAAGCAAGAACTGGATTTCTCTTCAAATCGGTTGTACAGCCAAAAGTGGGACTTAGAAAAATTCTATTCAGGACAAAAAGTTATTTTAAAACACCTTAGTTGCTGGCCCACTCTATGGTGTGTTTTTATAATGTTTTGGTTGTATCTGCTAAATCTTAAATAACGTCAAGTTGAAGTATGGACATATCCCCGTACCAAAATATAAGTGCATTGTGAGTGTGAAGGCAGATTGGATTTTGACAATCACTTCTCTCTCATTGTCCCTCACTCCTTTTTTTTCCTTTTTCTTTTTTTTTTTAATGGCCATTTGAGTTTAGAGGTAAAAATTATAGAGCGGCATTTGAGAAACAAGTTCTAGTTTCAGCAGAAGTACATACCATTCCCTGGGAAACTGCATATCCAAGTCGTGCATCTACACTTAAGAGAGTGTACTAAGTTGTTATAATGCTTATGAAACATACACACTTTACCTTTTAAATGTGTAAACTTGAAAACAAGTAGTGCCTATCATCTTTCCAAGATGATGATGGTCAGAGGTTTCCCAACCATATTCAGGTACTTCCTGATACTTATTGAAAGAACTAAGCCTTTGACTGGTAATATTAGGGTTGGGTATTTGCACAGAAGCTGAAGCAAAAAGCACTAGTTTTGTTAGGATTTTTAAAGAGAGAACATATGTTCACAGTCACAACAGCTGCAGTTGTGATAAGTAGAGGAATGTAGCAATGTTGTAAAAATGCATCAAGTTTGAACGGGTAGATATGCTGCTGGTTTGTGTTGGGGAAAGGAGATCATCGGTCCAAAGTGCCAAAATCAGTTCTCTAGGTGGCTGCAATTGTGCCCTACTTTTCTAGGGTGAGGAGAGCTGGAGAGCAGTATAAAATACAGCACCTAGGAGAGGGAAGGCTACATGTATGTAAAAGTCTGTGTGTGTGCATACATGTGCACACACGTATCTGTACTGTGCAAATGAATGTTGTTGGTTATAGTACATACCTTAGTCTGAAATACATGGAGTTGTGTGATTTCTTGCAAGTCTGCAATCTTTCCAGTGTTGTGCTTGCTACTGTTGTTATGCTTAACACCTTATGTCCAGTTTGATTAAAGGTATCATACCTCTTTCAACAGTAAAGAGCCAAGCATATATATTTCAGTACAAGAAGCTGTCAGGGTATTTTCTCAGTCTGGGTTAGGCAATACCATTTCACTTTTTATTTTGTTTTCATTAATGCCCTGTTTTAAATAGGGAAAAAAAAAAAGTGGCCATTAGTTTAAGAGTTTGATTACACTCTTGAATGTTTCCTGCTTTAGGGTGATTTCCACTGAAAAACAAACAAATTTCAGGTTTGCTTTAGAAAACTTTCTGGAATAAAAGAAGGTTTTTTTCACTCCATAGAGCTTTACTCATATAGGCAACATAGAATAGACAGAAAGTAGAATTTTACAGGTAAAGGGGAGTTTGTCATTTACTCTATTGTGCAACTTTTTTCTGTAAGGAAAAAAGAAAATCTCAAGAATAGTATAAAAAGAGTAAAATTCTGATGACTTTTTCTTAAGTTAGATCCTCAGCACTGTTTGACAAAGTATTTCATGAAGTAAAAGCCACATCTGTTATATCTACGCTACCTCTCATCTGCATATCTCTACAAATCTCTGAAAGAAACTAGAATTCAAGTATCTTCCAAATAGTAAAGGATTTTTTCAGGCAGGTACTTTTTCCCCATTTAAGTATTCTTTTGGCAATATTTTAAGATAGTTCTTAAAATATTTTTCATTAAATATTTTCTATGGGTTTTTTTTTTTTTTGTTCTTGCTTTAAAAAAGTAATTTTTTTTTTTTTTTTTACAAGTTTCTGTGTTGTTTTTTTTTCCCTGTTTGACAGTGAATGACAGTGATAGGAAGAAATCAGTTCTGGGAACTAATAGGCCAATTTTTTTACTTCATTTTGAGCATATACTATATGTATATACTCTTCAAGTTGGAGAGAATAGTCCTGAGCCTGCAGTGGGATTTGCCAGGCATACACACTGCCTTGTTGCTTTCAGGGAGTTGTGTGTATGCTCACATACTGCCTCCAGGTTCAGACTCTGCAGTATGTAGAGACAGGCTTTCATCGTGCGATTGACTCTTCAAGTCAAAATGTTGCTTTTTATCCACATACTTAATTTCTGACTGCGTTTCATGCATAATGCAATAAGCTTTGCAGATGCATTTGAAATTTCAACTGATAGGTATGAATCTTGTTGGATTTTTTTCCCACTTTTAAAGAAAAGGAGTCACATCAAGATTCAGTATTTCCCTTCAAAGTCTGTTCTTTAAAAGCACTATTATCACAAATAAAAACAGTCTTACAGTATTCTTCTGTACAAACTTTTATATCACAAATTGCTGCCAACTCCTTTTTTATTTCACAGTAGTGTGTTGTGAATACAGGGAGCTCACAGCCTGTTTGTGGATGATAGACATCAAATCTAAAACCTTATGGAGAATATGTTAACTCTCTGCATTGGTTTACTGCATCAACTATTACGAAAACCACAGAGGTTGAATCCTAGAACTGCACATTCATTTATCTGAAGTTACAGTACAAGCCATAATACTCTCTGATGTCACTATTCAGAGAGTGAAAGAAAATGTCTGGTTTCTGCCCAGGTGTCACTAGGAAAGATATATTATGTGTGGGGAAGGAGCACTTTTTGCTTTTACAATGTCCTTCTGGCTATTAATGTGATGTATAAAATTAGTGAAAGAGAAGGATTCTATCATTTTGTACTAAGGCTTAACACTGTGATATAAAAAGATGGGGGTGAGAAAGACTGGCGAGGCACTGTCAAGGGAAAAGTATAACTCAAGCCCAAGGTGAGCACTTTCTCCTCTTCCGACGTACTTGAGTGAAAGTGAGAAATTATGCCAACATACAGGAGATACTGGGTTTGCTATATGCGCTACCTTCCAGGTGAACTAGAATAAATTTGCTTTTACTTTAGAATTGACCGAAAATGAACATTCTGGGTCTTTTAATCATGTTAATTGTTGTTAGTTTCAATAAGCAAAGTATCAAAGTGAATAATTTAGGTAAACCTTGTAATATAATTCTAGTTGCACATTTTGTTGTTCTATTAGACATAACAGCCAGCAATTAAGGTGTTTTTCATCTTTGTGAAATTCATGGGCAAATTATGACTATAACATGGCACAGTTTTAATGAAATCTTTGAGATCAATCTGTAAATATATACTGTACATGACTGCTAGTAACTATGATACACATTTTCAGAACTGAAAATTCATGCAACATTTTTCTGTGTTTGCATAAGGAATGTTATGTTTCTATCCTATCACAGTTTAATGACTGGGAAGAAAGACTCAAGCAATGACATTGTCACCATTTCTTTTCTCATTCCCAGGGGAGGAAACCAGAGTCTTAGATAACAGCATGCTGCAGAGCTCTTCAGAGAGTTTTTACATTCAGATAAAAAGGATGTAAAATCTGTAAGGTACAAAAGCACAATGCATGGAGAAAAGGAGTGGTGGTCTTACACCTGGGGGAAAATTTATTTCAGACATATATGCATTAAAATTAAACCCCAGTTAATTTTCACTGTAATTATTAGACTGTGTTCCAATTCTATACTATAACACAGTACTAAACATAAGTGAACAGATGTTTAACATAATCAAACTATATGTGCATATGGACATTTACCTAGATGTCTGTATGGACATATGTGTGTATATATACACGTACTGAGTATATATCTGCGCACACATTCATATGTTGGTGTGTTAAAGGAATAAGCCAATAATAGTTTTGTTTCTACCATCAAGCAGTGTATGAATATATTTTTGAGAAAAAAAAAGGGTTAATGTATTTAAAAAAAAAACAACTTACTATACAGGGTAACTGGGTATTTCTATATCAGTCAATCAATGCTTATAATTCGTATGGAGCATTGCACTGTTTGACATGATGATAGTACTGTACCTCCTAGCATCTGAAATTAGACTAGTCCTCACATTGCTTGCCTATTTCTTCTCTCTCTTTTTATAACAACATTGTCCACTAGTAAGTTTTCAAAACCGACAGATCCTTAGGGAACCAAGAAAAAAGGCAAAAATATTAACTATTTCTAGAAAATAATCTAGGGTGGGATGGCCAGGGTACAATACATCAGTAGTGATCATAACATTTTGCTATGTGTACATAGAACATACAATGTGAGCAACCATAACTTAAGCTGAACGTGTGTAAATATTATCAGATTTCTTAAACATTTTTAACTTCTAATTTGTACTTTATGGTAAGGCAAAAAGCTAATTCTACTTATGGTTTAGGTTCATGTGTCCTAAAATTATGTAAATAATTAAATAAGCTGTAAATGAGCAGTCAATAGATACAGTAATTGTTTAGTGACTTTTTTTTACTAAGTACAATAATTGCAGTGCTCTAGCAGAGTAATTTAAACACCCTTTTGCATAAACAGATTTGGATTCCAGATATAAAAAAAGTACAGAAAGTACTGTAGTGTAAAATAACCACTGCAGCCACTGCTAGCACAGTTGAATCTCTTGTATGGTTAAAATCTTTCGGCAACAGAAGCTTGTAACTTGGCATTCAGTACTCAGATTAGCATATACAAATACGGCCTGGTTTTCACTTACAATAAGGCACCTTTATGTTGCTCCAGTGAGTGGAGAGGTGAAGGAATCCAATGTAAGTGAGAATTCGGCTGTTGGTGATTTCATTACAGAAAGCCTGCATATTGCGTCTGTCTGTTTCTGAAATCTGTATCTCTTACGGTATCTAATAGTAGACTTATATTTTTCTTTACAAAAAAAAGAAAAAAAAGGATGTTTGACTGTCATTAGATAGCATAGTCCCCCAAAGCCAAAGAATCTTCACTCCAGAAATTGTTTAAAAGGGAAATCTAATAAGTCACTGCTTAACACCAAAGGTAAAGCTTAATAAAATGCACTAGGAACTTTGTCAAAATTTTTAAGAAGCAAATGGGATGTTGATCAAAAAGACTTAAATACAAATTAATATAAAATTGAAATAGATCATCTCTACAAGAATATGCAACACTAACATTTCATAAGTATAAAATTATTTTCTTTGTAAGTGCTTTGAGAAAAAAATGAAACTTAACTGATGAAAAATCTCACCTCTACTTTCATACTAAGGGTTGTATTTTTTTAATGTTTTTCAGACATGAGGTCATCTATTCCAATTTGATAGCATTTTGTATGTTTTCACTGTTACTGTCATTTGACAGATACTCACCAGGCTGTATTGTTCATGGTCTGTCCTGTTACTTTCAGTTGAAGACAAAAAGAACATTTGAAACATGATTAATTCCAACAAACTGACTATGATTTGACTTCTATCACGTTTTTATTTGCATGGGTGTTTAAATGGTTCTGTTAGTACTGTCTTTGCACAGTTCTGATTTATCTTTTTTTACTTAGTACTATTTACTTCATAATGTAGTAATCATCAGCCTTACTAATGACCTTGTAGCCTTTCTTATATGCACATAATGCACATTTTCCAATGGCTAGAAAATGCAAAATACTAGTGGATATCATTGCATCAGATCTTCATGTCTTTCTCAAAAGGACTGCTAACCTCTGGGATATATGAGGTAGTAAAATGATGATTGTAAATGAGTAGCACATAAGAGATATTTTCTTGAATTTAAAATTATTGCAGCCAGTTTCAGCATGTAAATATATAATAATGTTGGCTAGTGTGTAATTCTTGAACTAAAAAAATATAAATAAAGAAAACCGAAAAGATGTATATGTAGTTGTGTTATGTTGGGCAGGCTCTTTTCTCAAAACTGCAGAAATTACAGTTCTCATCTTGAGTATCTGTGAATATGGGACAGAAAGGGACACCAGGAAGCTGGGCACTGAGGCATCTCAAGTGTAGGCTTAATATGCGTTGAAGCATCTCAAGTCAAGGCTTATTATGAGAAGAGGGAGCTGTAACTCAGTGTTAGTTGGCCTATGCAGCAGTCAGGAGGACCCGAGTGTCCGGGGAGTATAGGCAATGTACAGTGAGATGCTCAGTGCTAGTCACTAAAAAAATGCTGAGAGGAGAGCAGCACAGAACATCTCACAAGCTCACTAACACCTTCTCTTGGGAATGTGTTACTGATGGTAAGTTTCTGGTGTCGTCCTTATAGAAATATGGTAGCTGGTGATGGTGGGATGGTATTTCCTTTTACTTAAAAAGGTCTAAACAGTCTTAAGTCTGTCTATATGGGCTGAAGATATGGAATACCCAAGTTCCGTACTTTCCTCTTCATACTTAACATCTAACAGGAGAGATCCTGGATGACCAAATTATTGACCCTTTCAGGATAGTGGATTTAGCAGTTTTTCTTTTGGGGGGTTCTGTTGCATTATAAAAAACATTAACAGACGAGTAGGAGAGAGCAGTCAAGCACGGCCATGAGAGGCATCTGTACTGCTCTATTCCATCTGCTGACTGGTACAAAACTTTATTGGCAGTAGCAGGGGCTAGAAACTGGATCTCGTCTCGTGCTCCCAAGATATAAAATGTTCACTAATACAGATCTTTCTTCTAGCAGATCTTGATCATTAAATAGGCTTCAGAAATAGACTTGTTTGTTTGCTGTACTGAGGGAAGAGTACACATCTATTAGTTGTTCTATGCCAGCTAAGCTCTATTAAAAAAGGAGTTCATAGTTGTGTTTCCAAACCCCAAGTATCACTACATGGGGGAGATTGCAAGGTTT